AATTTTCCCTAAGAAAAGAACGGAGTTCTTCAGATTTTCGAAAGATTCCTGCAGAATGCGGCGGGAAAAGTGCTTCTTTTCCTGCAGAAGACTTTCACTTCCCGCGTGAAAATGTTTCATTTTTCCCCCAGGAACTTGCGGAATCACGCTCGTTTTTTTTCACTGGGTAAACAAGAAAAAAAAACAGAAATCCCTGAATAAATGCAAAATGTCTATCGACATAAATAGTATATCTTTTATTAGATGTATGTATGTGAAAAAAAATTCACTAATTAGAAGATATATACACAAATTCATTTTCTCAATTCTGTCAAAAGAAAACGGCACCGAGCAGACATATTAACTAGACATATTAAAAGTTTCGAAGTTCAAGGCATATTTTTCTCCCACTTATGAAACTCATCGCGCCGGATCTAGGCTTTTGTTTAAGAGAAGAACGTGAAATGATCCACATTCAGTACCCATACAGCTATCTCTTGTTTTCAGAACGTCTCTACGTTACATAGTTCTCGGGATCATACAACTCACTTTTTGCCAAAACAATGATTAAAGAAGAAATAAAACTGGATTGCAATTGCGATGTGCACAAGCTGCGATGTCGACAGACTCCGTCTCTGACTGTACCTATTGCTCCAAGCAGATCCTGTCAGTAGACTCTGAGCATTGCATTCTTGCTTTGATTTACTCTTTGAACTGCTACAGTCCAACAGCCATCTTTTTGCCTGCTTATGGAGCTTATACCGCCGAGTTTGGATCTTTAATTGAGTAAAGAACGTGCAACTGTCAATTTTTCAGTTTCCGTAGACCATTGTTTCTTTTTCAAAACTTCTCTACGATGAGTAGTCTGTTGGATCATGACATTCTCTTTTCGCAAAAAAAAACGGTCGTAGGGACAAAAGAAAAAACAAAATTCCCAGGATAGATGTCTGTCGACATAAAAATCTTTATTCTTCTCGATGATTTATAGTAGTAATAAAGTTAGAGGCTTCCGAATTGAGACCACTTTTTTGTTCACAGTTATTAGTTGGATTAAAAAAGTGGTCTCAATTCGGAAATGAGAATTTCTATAAAAAATAGAAAGTGGTTATAGAAATTATATATACAAAAAGAACAATAGATCACAATACAAATTGCACATTAGGTATGTATATATTTGTTGTTATCTTTTTCTTCACAATCATTGTCAGGAACGTTCATATAATCGATAATTTAATGATCGTAATATTGCTTGGATATCTTCCAAATTTAAATTGCTATCGAAATAATTTGTTTTGCTTCCATTAATCCATGATCATTTCTTGTCTTCCTTGAGCGTGTTGTACGTTGTTGCTTTTGTTCCTGTTCATATCTTGCCATTGTTGATTCTTCACATCCTTGGATATAATTGATCCATGCTCAAAGATGTGGATGTGTTTAACAACGCCTGACAAATACAACGGTTTTCATATTAAAAGTTTGTATAAATCAGTTAGAAAGGGATTTGCATAAGATATTGCTTAGGGTAGAGGTCTTGTCTTGACTGGTGCCATTAACAAGGTTTATCTATGCAGTAAAACTTCTTGTCCATCGACCAATTGATTTCAATATAATAAACTTTCTGAAGTTGTATGAAATACTCACGAATTTACTTGCCCATGGTAACCTTCCACATAATTATTGATACATGGACTTATGTGTAATATGCTATTTATCGATAATATATAATATGTAATATAATTCTAATTTATGCTTTATCAGAAAGATTAGTGTGACTAAAGTATTGAGACCACTTCTTTAATCCAATTACTAACTGTGAACAAAAAGATGGTCTCAATTCGGAATGAGCCAGAAAGTTTTAACGATTATTTAAAAAAAAAAATAAACTAGATTGCAATTGTGCTATGTCGACAGACACTGTGGACATTTCCAGCTACTGATCTGGGCCTAGCGAGCGGATTTCAAGCATTAGTCATTTTAATTCTTCTGGTATGGGACACACTTCTAAACTGTAAACAACAGCCCTGTGAGGTACCGTTTCACTCCATAAATATTTAGTATAATATAAAAAAATCCATTCAGCACCATCTGCATTTTTTTTACTGAAAAACAGTTCTCGAGTTTAGAACAACATATATGGGCACTTAGTATATCCTTTATTAGATGCATGTATGGGAAAAAAAATTCACTAATTAGAAGATATGTACACAAATTCATTTCTCAATTCGGTCAAAAAAATGGCGCCGGATAACTAGAAATATATTAAAAGTTTCCCAGGTCGACGAAAACTGGCATTTAATTGTCCATTAACAGCCTGTTAACTATATGCCAAAAAATGGTCTGTTAATTGTGTAAAAATCGAATGAAAATTGACATTCTTCAGTTATGAGTCATAGAAGCTTGCCTCGAAGGAGTGATTTGTGGTTCTTGGGTCGGTGTAGGCGATAGTACCTTAGATTTCAGAAGATATTTTTTTTACATTTTCTAACGGTCTAAAAATTGATATTTAAATGGAAAATAAATCTGATCAGTAGGGTTACTGGCAGCAGTTAAATGCCTGTTATTTGACATTTCAAAAAATACGAAATAAATGCATTTAAATGTTCCCAGTTATAATGGCAAAAAACGGCCTAAAAACTGGGCCAAATGTCATAAAAATGCCATTTAAATGCTTATTAATAGCGTATTAAATGGCACTTAATTGGCAATTCATTACACCGTTTTCGACGTCCTGGGTTCGAAGTCCAAGACAATTTCTCCCACTTGTAAAATTCATCGCGCCGGATCTGGGCTTTTGTTTAAGAGAAGAACGTGAAATAGTCCACATTCAGTACCCATTGAGCTATCTCCCGTTTTGTGAAAACTTCCAAGGATACGTAGTTCTCTGAATCATACGACTCATTTTTTGCAAACCAATGACTAACAAGAAAAAAAAAAATCCCTGAACAAATACATAATGTCCGTCTACATAAAAATATCAAAGTCGAATTGTTTAAATGTCATATATTTATAGCTAAACAACGATGTGCAAACCGTTAGAGAAATCTTAAAACATAAATATTTTTTTATAGTCGAAATTTATGTCATTCAATCCTGTATACAAAAATAAAGTGACTGAACTTCTTTTAGCTCTTAGTGACTGAATCTTGTGGAGTTTTTTCCCCAAAAGTCCCAAAAAAAATGATTAAAAAAGCGCCTGTATCATGAATTATTCAAAAATTTAATTATTGTATTTTTTAGACCGTTTTTAATCTGAGAGAGGCAAACTTATTCCCAAGAATGTAAAAGGATCAAAAAAGAGTTGAGAAAAACTATCAAAAAAGAATGAAATCGCAACACACTTACCAAAAGTTGAACGTTACTCGATTTTCTTGCTTATTCGATACACTTTTTCATGTGAATGATGAATAATTGTAGTAATAGACAGTAACCAGTTTAGAAAGGCAATCGATTGGTATCGATATGTGCACACTCGAATATCATTAAAAAGAGTTCGATATACTATTGTTACATACATTCGATAAGATACGATGACTCTATCTAGAAATAAACAATGTATACTGGAAAAACGACATTTTAACATACTAATAAGCAAGTAATGTTCGAGATAAAGTCTAACAAATTCATTTTTTACTGCAAAATGTGTTATATCTAGCTAGGAAACAGAATGTGTCAAAGTACTCACTTAATGCTTCTACTATGTTTAGTTCGGTGTAATTTTATCGGTGTATATGTTTCTGTGACAAGTTTGTTTTCTTTTTATATGATTAAAAACATAATAAAGTCAAGCAATTAAACTTTATACGTGTCTTTAGTTATGATTTATCTTTATTGATCGACTTGTAAAATAATTTTATGCATATGTCTATCTATATTTAATTTTTCCATCTGCTACGATTCCTTTTTTGCCTTTTTTTCTCATATTACTGTGTTCTTTGAATAATTACATCGTGTCAACTTTTTCCTTGTTGAATAAGGGTACGATCGAGAAAATAGTAGTTTTCCTCATCATTGAACATGTTGCATTTATCTTTTCCTTTTGCCTTTGTCTCTCTATGGGACGATTTCCACTACACTGGTAATAGTTTGTTAATGAAAAACTAATATTCTATTTTCTTCTTCTTTCATCTATCAACTTTTAAACTACACCACAGTCAAACGAGAATATAACGATAGAAGTATGGACCTATTCTATTTGATTCCGTTTGTTTCCACTCTATTTCTTAGTCAAACTGACACAGATGACGATCTATTCGATAGACTAAATTATAAATATACCGTAGCATTATTACTACTATTTGCCATACTAACAACAGCAAGTCTATTTGGATCAAATCGTATCCATTGTTGGTCACGTGCCAATTATCCCGCTTCCTATATTAAATATACAAATTTCATTTGTTTCATAACTCAAACATATCAACTTTCAAACGATGAAAGAATACCGGAAAAAATAGCAGATAGGTATGTCGTCTAAGATATCAAACTTTTGCGACTATTTATGATAAACGACAGTCGTTTATTTTTGGATAATTATAATCATCTTGTTTTGGGAATAATTTAACTTAACTAATGATCCTCGTAATTCTCTTAGATTCTCACTTACAAATTAAATCAATTTTCACAAACAACACTGCCCATGGGAAAATTTTAGTATATAAAATGGCGTGTATACAATTGTTTCACAAATATTTAGAAAATTTTTGTGTTAGAAATTAATATTGCGATTAATAGTGAAGAGTTCATCTGTTATTTTTTTTGTCTATATGTTTTAGGAAACGTGGTTTATTAAACTATTATCAATGGACACCATTTATCCTTCTGTTAATGGCTCTATTTTGCTACTTACCTCGTATGGTATGGCGTGCACTCAGTGTTCGATCTGGGATTGATCTGTTAGATATTATAGAAGCAGCTGGTGAAAGTAAAACAGTGAAAGAATTTAGTGATCATGATCAACTTGTTCAATATATTGTTGATACAATCGATATGTATGTGGATGATGCAAGAAGACAAAGAGATGCCGATAAAAGACAATCACATATATTACGAAAAATATGTCAATTATGTTGTTGTATGTTAGGAAAATTTCTGGGAAATTATTTTATTACATTGTATCTGTTTATCAAGTGAGTAAAACTAGTCAAATGTTTCCTAATTTCTCATTTTAAATACCGTTGTTTGTCTTTTTTTCTTTTATTTTAGAATTGTCTATATTTTCAATGTAGTTCTACAAATATTATTATTAAATTTATTTTTGGATACAAATTTTATGAAATTTGGTTTTGAGAGTTTTTTAATGTTTCGTTATGGTTTAAATCAAGCAGAATCAAGATATTTTCCTCGCGAAACACTTTGTGATTTTTATGTACGAGAACCGTTGAGAGGTGGTGAACCATTACAACGAATAACAGTGCAATGCGTATTAACCGTGAACTTATTCAATCAGGTATGTTTTTGTTTGTTAATCATGAATTGATAAGACAAGTAGAGAGTCAATGAGATTACAGAGTCTATTTTAATTAGGGCGCTGAAGTAGAATATTAATTCGACTTGTGCATGTAACGATCATTCAAATGGTGATTCTGGCAGATTTTGTACAGAATATAGTTCTTCAATGAAACCTCATGTCAAATAGAAGAACATCGCATCTGATCAACAAACATTTTTCCTTAGAATGATGCTGAGGCAATAATCGAAAGTTGCCACCGGATCGAAACATAGATGATACACAAAAAGTCTTAAGAGCGACAAAAGACTGTTCGAGTTAAATATCTCTTTCTCAGGGGAAAACTTATTCGATACAGCTTGCTTGATTCCTAATTTTAAGAAAAGGTTCTGCTCTTTAAAATGAGATATTCTGAAGTTCTGTAGATGAATTTGTTAAAGTATCAAAGTTTCGTATGAACTCAAAATTTTCAGTCCCTAGTCGATAATGAGTTCTGAAAGATGTTATGTCACAGTCATTCTAATCAAAATATGATAAATAACACTGACAAATTGAATTACAACCTATAATTATTTTCTTTTCCTCGTTTTTAAAGCAAATATTTTCATTATTATGGATATGGTACATGATTGTATTTGGTTTAAATATTTATTCATTATGTTTATGGATCCATCGTCTAATACCATTTTATACTCGTTACGAATATATTAAAAATCGTATAACGCGAACATCACGAACTGATATACCTCGATTACGTATTCATTTTAAACATGTTAACTTTGAATTAGGCGGATATGTACAACATGAATTAATTAAATCATTCATAATAGATTATTTAGAACCCGATGGCTTCTTTTTTATTCGATTATTGACAGCAAATGCGAGTGATTTTGTCGTACAAGAAATTATCGAAGGTTTATGGACATATTATGTGAAAAAATATGCTGAAAATGATGCAAAAAAAGCGGAAGATAGTTTTTATGAATTTCGAGGACATTGGAATAGAGATACTAAGTCTCAAGTATCGACAAATTTCGTGATGCGAGATGGATTGCCCGAAGATCTAACAGATGCAAAACGAAAATTTTTAAGACAGACAACAGATTTTGATAGTAGATCAACAAATTTACAAACAGCATTCAAACCATTATCTGAAGATGTTTAAATAATTCATGTATAAATTAAGTGAACTAAAATTTTTTATACCGTACTAAATGATTTTTCCACTGAGACATAATCTGACATCGTCATTTGTAAACTATATTAGTAGACCAATTCTCATAGCGATAATCTCTCATAAAATACTTTATTTATTCTTGAGTATACTCATTTTTATCTTCCGTTATTAATAATAGATTTTTTTTTAAACAACATATCAACTCTCGCATAAATACTCAATAGATGCTCAGGTACTTTAATTTCACTCATCTTTATGGAACTCATTTTTGAAATTCAGAATCTAGAGGCATTAAAATTTATATCAGAAAATATGCAATGTTTTTTTCCGATTTTCATTCTCCCCTTTCTATGTGAGGCGATCGAACTAAATTTGTGCTATTACATTTCTCAAGTTCGATCAATGAGAAAGCGTGAAGGCGTTTATGTTGAACTTGTGTCGCTTATATGGCTCTTTATTTTTGTCTTTTTTCTACCCATAATCACTTTAAAAATATACAATGACATATTTTTATTACATTTTGTTTACATCGGCGTAGTAGGTTTTGATTTGTTGTGATGTTTAACTGCCAAGAGTTGTTTTTAGCGCTCAATAAAAACATCATGTTATAGTTTTCCATTGAATTTCGTTTGATTACTTTTAAGAAGTTTTAATGGTATAGATTTCTCGATGTTGTTGTTTTTTGTTTGTTTGTTGTTTTGCACATGAATACAATCACCGAAAAAAATTTGAAATAACAAGTTAAATGGTACAATATAGGATAATTAAAGATAAAAGAAAATAATCACATTCATGATCTGAAAAGCACAGTTGGATGTCTCAGTGCGAGATCCATCAGAAATAACCGGTTTTGTACTTACAAACGATTTATATTACGTAAATATTAGAATATAAATTAGACTCTAAAGTACTCCATATCAACTTATTTTATTTACTTTACAGTAAAATTATACGATAATGAAAGAGACAACGGTAGATGAAAAAAGAAGTAAAGCTAGAATGCTCCTGCTACATATGTACTTCGGTGTCTTGAATAGCTTTGTTTTTTACTACTGAATTATACTGAAGGTTCGATTCGCAGTTGAGTTTTATCAAGATTTTATATTGTTTTGTTCCTATCATTAACGTCAGATAGTCGATAATCAATGCATCGATAGGATAATATCTAAACATTTTGTTCATGAAAACCATTCATTAGTAGCCGATAGAAATACGAAGAGAAAAATGTGACATATGATGGTTATAATAGTTTACAAATTTTATTTAGAACATTATTCATAGAATAAGATTATTCGCTTATTGAGTAGAAAAGGTTTTGCTAAGTAACTCATATGATGTTTCTCAGTTTCATCTTTGTTATTTTATTTCATGTTGTAGAAATTAATTGTCTTAATTAGAAAAACAAAATGTACGTACTGTACTGTTGCTTTGTATTAACACCGAAAATTTTTTCAATTTAATTTTGCTTAGCTCGGTCAAGAAACTCAGACTAATAGAATTAATTTATCGATCAAGATTGAACACTACGTTATATGGGAAAAAATCAATACAGAAAACAAACTATATCTATTTATAAATAACATTATGGATATTATGAAATAATTTCACATCATGATTGATTCGCTTTAATTTTAAGGTTTCTCGCTGACATTAAGTAGTCAAATAATGTAGGCAAATGTTGTTTTGTTTGAGAGATGGCTTCCGGTCTGATAGACTATCCCAAGTTAGAGAGAAATTGTTTTTGTCATCAAACATCCGAACATCTTCACGATGTAAAATAGTGTAATGTAGAGTTTTGTCATTATAAAACATCATCTTCATTCAATTTTGTACGAATAATCATCACTAAATACTGGTGTGAACGAAAAGATGATCGATAAATCATATACTCAACATCGATTAATTTAAAGTGTATTCGAAATGTAAATACATATCTTTCTTTGTATAAAATTGTGCGCAATCAAATATCAATATAGGAAGAGGATTTCTGTCGAATGAAGGAAAAAGTACTGACATGATATAACGCTTTTGTTTTTGTTTATCATTATATGATGTTAGATTGAGAATGTACGATAATTACTGAAAACAATTTATGTAACTTAATAGACTCGCTGCATTCAAGATAACAGAACATAATATTGAAACACTAAACCCATATTGTATAGTGGGTAATAATAGCGACAGTAAAAGTAAAACGGAGAAATATTAATATCATTGTTAATTATGGTACATGCACTGTAAGAAATAATTACGGTAAAAAGTGAAAAGCAAAAAAATGCAGGATCCACAATATCCCGCATCGTGATGTTTAATCTGGAATATTCTATCATATTGCGAGGAAAATTTTAGCAGAATGCCCATTATGTCTCACAATATGCCACAATTTCGCGAAAAATTATAAACTGTCACAGCATTTTGCACAGAAAAAAAGTCTTCTACATGTGCCATTTCTTTATATGAAGCAGAATAAAGTTTGTTATGCGCAACACATAAGAGAAAGCGGAAAATATTTTCTTGGTTCTTTCCTTCGACAGACAATGACTTCTTCAGTTATATTCGCTGTTAAGCATCACACAATAAGGGAAGAATACAGTTTAGCAGGCTTACATGAGCGATACTTCACGGCAGGGCCGCAAATCGAAACCGAACATTAAGGGGCTGTAAAAAATAATTTCCCTCTCTAAGGTAGTATGAAATTGATAAAAAAAATTTTGTGTGAGGGATAATGGATAAAATAACAACCGCTTTTTCAATTATTCGAGGACTGCGCATCTTCCCGTTATTTGCAGCTCTACCTTACAATAGTACTGTGAGGTAAAAAAATAATGTGTACCAGACTCTCTGAGCAAAATGTGTCGCAAACACACCGAGTCTCATCCCATTTCAGTTTCGACGCGGATGGCTTTAAATGAGAGAGATTCAGAATGAGCTATGGATAAGTCTTTCAAAGATATGTTCACATCGGTTAATAGTTGAATTAATTAGCTGTGATTTTAATAATTTTCACCTATAATCTCAAGAACATCGTTGTTTTTGACTGTTTAGTAAGAGCTGAAACCAATCTGAATAATGCTTTGAATAGCCCGAAGATTTTTCTATCAGGTGAGGTGCATTTCATGAGAAAATTAGATAATAGAGCTTCTGGAAAATCTGACCGCTGAAAAACCAAGTCCGCAGTTTTTGGTTAAAAATTTTGGTTAAAAAATTTTGCAAACTATACAGCCTGATAGAGCAAAGAATTCTGAGGAAAACAAGACATCTCCGGCATTCTATAGTGCTTTTTCACGCACCTACAGTCGATTTACCACTAGCTACAAAACGCGTGAAAGTTATCAAAATATTCCGGTGCGCAAGCACTATAGAATGCCAGCAGATGTCTTATTTTCCTCAGAATTCTTGCAGCATTATTCAGATTGGTTCCAGCTCTTACTAAACAGTCAAAAATAACGAAGTTCTTGAGATTATAGGTGAAAATTATTAAAATCACAGCCAATTAATTCAACTATTAACCGATGTGAACATGTCTTTGAAAGTTGTAAAAAATTTGTAAAGCATCTAATTTGTTCCGAGAACCACGGCGCCATGCCAGAGGCTAACCGCCAAGGGGCAGTGCGGGTGCCATGGAGAAACAAGATCATACTGAACGTTACCCGGTTTGACGATGTTTGGCAGCGTGGTGGTCGGTATGAAGAGTGATGTTTACGATCGAGAGTTAGTCAGACCGACATTGTCTGGTTTACAGTATACGGCAGCGTAGTTCACTGACGAGGGAATCCCTCGAAGTGATTAAACGCTTTTTGCTCGGAACCTAGTGTGTTATAGGTTATCGACCATGCTGATTAGGAATACTACCATGGGGCTTCCCCATAGCCCTTCGAAGATCTGGTTTTCTGGAAAACCGGTTTTCAAAAACTGTAAAATATAACCCGAACCTTTCTTAGTGAGGCATGATTGTAGCCCGCACATTTCTGATTAAAATGAGACATCTCATAGCTTTGTACGACCTTTCTTTGCACAGTTACAGAATCTAAAAGAAAAGCCCTAAATGTTCATTGTCAGCGCAAAGCTACAGAAATAAGAAATTAATTTAGGGCTTTTCTTGTAAATTCTATAACTGTGCAAAGAAAGATCGTACAAAGCTGGGAGATGTCTCATTTTAATCAGAAATGTGCGGGCTACAATCATGCCTCATTAACAAAGGTTCGGGTAATATTTCAGAGTTTTTGAAAACCGGTTTTCCAGAAAACCAGATCTTCGAAGGGCTATGGGGAAGCCCCATGGTAGTATTCCTAATCAGCATGGTCGATAACCCATAACACACTAGATTCCGAGCAAAAAGCGTTTAATCACTTCGAGGGGTTCCCGCGTGAGTGAGAGTCATATGGTGTTATAAATGTCCTTGCTGTACGTTTATGATTTAGTAGAAATGTTCAATGTGATATAGTGCTTAGATAATATAGTCGGCCATTAGTCTCGTATGGTGACAAATCTTATGTCACGGCATATATTGCACTAACACACTAATAAAAATGTATATAATCCTGGTATTATCACCTGGATTCATCCAATTTAAACATTTCAATTTCGAACGTATCAATAAAGAAGAGCAGGTAACGAGAATCTTAGTATACTACCTACAGTCATCTTATTTGAGTTGATAATCAGCATGTGGTCGAAACTATTCGCCATTTTAGTGTTAGTTCGTTTTATTTTCTGCTATATATTTCTTAAATCATCATCATCATGATGATGATGGTGCGGTGAAGAAGAACAAATCCGTTTACATAATGTGTGATAATGATCTTTTTATAATCTCATAATTAATCGTCTCAACCACTCCAAAGTGTCGATGGTTGTTGGTAGCCTCTATGCTAAGTGATGATACAGTGAACAAAAATACTCTCTCTCTCTCTCCCTCTTCGACGTCTTTGTCTATTTTGAGTCTTAAGTGGTAGGTGGAGATCATGTATGTTGCGTTGTATTATGAA